GGTGGAGTGAGGCACTGTGAGAGTAAAGTGTTTTGCCCAAGAACACAACACATTGACCCGCCCAGTTCTCAAACTCAGAACTCTCAACCCAGAGTCTGGTACACTAACAATTAGCCCACTGCATCTCCCCCCTGAGTGCACTTAGCCAGAGATCAAGTAGTCAGGCTTCACGGCCCTGGTCAGGCTGGTGTTTCAATTTTGACCCTTCACCCTCACAGTGCCTTCCTTCACCCTCACAGTGCCTTCCTTCACCCTCACAGTGCCTTTCTTCACCCTCACAGTGCCTTCCTTGACCCTCACAGTGCATTCCTTCACCCTCACAGTGCCTTCCTTCACCCTCACAGTGCCTTCCTTCACCCTCACAGTGCCTTCCTTCACCCTCCCAGTGCCTTCCTTCACCCTCACAGTGCCTTCCTTCACCCTCACAGTGCCTTCCTTCACCCTCACAGTGCCTTCCTTCACCCATAGGTATTAGTGGATACCTGGTCAGCGAATATTCAGGAAACCTGAAAAAGCGCTACAAGGGGTAACACCCTCTGCAACACTTCAACATTCCATCCAGGAGGGACCAGCATTATACCACTAGTGGCTTCAAACTACAAAACTGAGAAATGTTCCTGTAGGATGAGCCTCCTTGCTCCTTAGCTGACTTTTGAGAATACTCTCCTCCCATACTGTGATAACAACATGTTGGTGACAAACTGGATTAATTAAACAACAATTTCCTGCAGCACCTTTGAAAGCAATCAGTGAACCCCCTTTTTATTTTTTTATCAAAGGATGCATAAAGCTTGTCTGCCCAACCAGGGAGAAATTAAAGATGAAATTTTAAAGAATGATATACTGTCCAGCAGCCCTGATGCCAAAGCTATTGGTGATATTGTTACTTACTGGTCTCACTTCACCATTGCTTTTGGTGTACTGCCGTGCCAGGCCAAAATCCAGCATGAAACAGGAATGGCAAGTATCTGGTGTGTTGCCCATTGCAAAATTGGACTGAAAATACAACAACCTCCTCAAAAAAAATTTTTGCACAAACCTTGTTTTAGCTTAAAGTAATGCCGCGATAAACGTACCTTGTCAATAAGAGGTCTGATTCAAATGTGTGTTTCCTCCCAAATAGTCCACTATCAAGCATTAAAAAAACTTTAGAGTATCAAAAACTTATTTCTCCTTAACCGTTTATCAATATATTTTCCAGCAAAGAGGTAATAAGAAGTCAGAATTCAATCACCAAGGGAATATCAACTGAATGTAAACCAAATTTTAATATTGCTGTATATTTTAATTTGATAAAATGCTGTATTTAAATGAAGGGTTCCATCCATCCATCCATACTTTTCCTTGAATTTCAAAATAAAACCCTGTAACTGATGAACCTGTCTGTTCTTATAACTTGTTTACAAGATGTCTGATTGGAGTTGTAAGGAGAAATTGCATGTAAGTCACTTCCGCAAGTTGAAGGGTTAATGTGAACCAAACTCCTAAATTATGCAAGATGTATGGCAGACATTATGATGCAGATTTGATTTTTAGTTCTTTAGGATAAGAGTCATAAAATTTTCCACACCATGACTAATATCACATATTAGTATAATTTCTGAGCTGAGCAAATAGTTTCCAGCAATCTGATTGGTTGAGCGGTTCCTTATATGACGCCGGCTATATAAACTGCTCCACGCGGTTTATATAAAATGTTAAAATAAAATGTTAATAAATGTTACTAAAATATTATGATTTTAGAAATTCCTCTGTTGTTCAGCTCTGAAATTATACTAAAACAATTATTCACCTCAGGTTTGGTGAATATTTAGTAAATAAACCCCTTTGGGCAGCTGGTATGTTGGCTGATAATGTCTGCGGCTGAGAGATTCTCCAAAAAATGAATATTTGGCCGAGAAGCGAAGCTTCAAGGGCAAATATGAAATTTTGAGGACAATCTCCCAGCCAAGGACATTATCAGCCGACATACCAGCAAGCCAGAATGAGGCATATCTATTTTATAACTCTCCCATTAACTTTCATATCGCAATTAAACTGCACGTAAACACAGTAAAACAGCCAGTGGTGATCTGATGGCGAATGTGCGTGATTGATGCAAGCAAGCAAGCCAGCAGAAAAAAAAAAAAAAAAAACGAGTTTGGTTTCCTTCCATGTAAATAGGAGAACAGAAAAGTTGAAACTCTTGTTCTGACTATGTTTCTTTTTCACGGAAAAAATTGGAGGACAAATATCGGCGCAGACAGGGGTTATTGTATGATAACTGTCCTGTGATTTTGCACCACGTGATGTAAAGTAACCAATAAAATCGTGCCAAAATTAATGGGTGGGTTGTAATGTCGAATAATCTCCTTGACTTCGTCTCAGGATTACTTGATGATATTCACCTCACCTTCGGTGAATAATTGTTAAATAGTTAAACTTAAGTTTTATCGACTGAGTTGGTAATGCAAATCAGCCATTATAAAGAGTTTCTAACTTTTGGAGCCCTAGCCCTTCATTAAGGCAAATGCAGACAAGATGGTTGCAAGATGGTAATGGATGATAAACCCACTGAAACAGGTTAGACAAGCCTAGCTTTGGACCTGAAGCACATTTTGTACCATTAATGTACAAACTATGTTTTAGATCCAGAGCTAGCCTTCTTCAGCTAAAGAGATAGAAAAAATACTTCCAATGTTGAAAAAATGCTGATTTCACTCTACAGCTCAGAACACCCTAATTAAAATTAAATGTCATAAATATTTTTGGAAAATTTTTGTGCTGTGGAGAATAGACTTACCTAGTAGGTAATAAAACTTGCCCATAATAGCTTTATGGCTTTTAAATTTGCTTGCTTGTTCTGATCTTGAACGTGATTGGTTGTAACACAATACACAATCCAGATATATTTGAGATGCTCATGGTTTTCTGTGTTTGACCCTAACCTTTAAATTCTTTGTTTTTCAAAATTTATGTCCATGTAAATCACATCTGCAAATGTTTTCTAAAAAACAACAAATATTAATAATGGTCCATACATACAGGTTTAATGTCTCGATGTAGAAATCCAGCTTCTTGGATGGCTTTTAAAGACCGCAAAATCTGAAAACCAAGTCTCAGCATGGTGCTCTGAGAAAAGACTCCCTTAGGCTGGCTTCGTCGTAACTCGGCAAGGTTTGAGCCTTGCAGGGACATGACGAGATAGTTGAAATTCTCATTCCTACCACAGCTTATAAACTTGCAAACTTGTCTACAGCCTACAGCAAATAAAAACATACTTAGATAAGTTGCAAGTACCTGAACCTGATAAAATTAAACAGCCATACATTTCTTAACCCTTTGAACCCCAAAGAGTGATATAACCATTTACTTTCTCCCAACACTATCACCCATGAATCAAACATAAAGGGTCATGAGAATATAGGAAACAATTGCAAACTCAAAGCTCAAAGAGCTCTTCATTGTTATACAAATTTTCCTCGTATGTACAGTACAAAATGTATTGAGACCAGTATGGAGAATATGCATACTGATGTTATGGCGTAACAAAGGATTAATATGCACTTCAGCAAAGTCTCTCCCTTTCCAGGATCAGGCAAGTGCATGTACCTTTGCACAAAATTAGTCTGTAATCATAATTAAGGGTAGTAATTACAACTTGGCTATTTTACAATCAATCTTTAATAAGTCATTATGGATCCATCTTTTGTTAGTGACTACAAAGGAGCTACAAAACTATACAGAGCGACTAGCAAAGTTAACCTGCTGGGAATCAGGAAAAAAATTGGTCTACTTTATGAGCACATCTTTTGCAAGACTAAAACTGCCACAGTTTATAGCTACTCAAGATTCAAGTACAGATAAGGTTTACATGAAAGCAAAATTATTTCATATTTCTCTCCATGATAAGTAATGATTCCTTTACCTTGCAGCTTCTTTAGCACAGCCACCTCCATTTTGAGGACTTGTTTGGACTGGTTAACAGACTCCACCTTCAGGGCAACTGATTCCTTTGAAACAAAATCCAAAGCAGAGTAGATCTCCCCTAAAATTCAAACATGATCACAAATTAAACTAAATTTAGAAGATAAACAATTATTATCCAATAAATATCACTTAAGTCTATATGAAATTAATTTAAAACACTAAAAAAAGTTCAGTCAATTGACAAGTAAAATTTTGAGCATGAGACTAAGGGAATAGTACTGGTAAATCATTCTAACCCTACATTGCAAAACTATGTTAGTAGCAATCAGCTACTGCTACAACAATAAAATAAATAAAATAAAATAATGAAAAAAATCAATAACAATGCCCTCAGCCATTCACCCGCCTGCAAAATTCACATTCTAGCTAAAATGGTAATATCCTCAACACAAAATTATCTTTTTCAGGGTTTTATGTCAAAACTAGTCTTTCTTATTCCAATTTCACATTCAATTGGCAAACTTGTTTGGCTCTGACATTGACTTCCATGATGCTACTTTACCAAGAGACAACAAAATATGGCAATATTATCAATAATTTTTTTTTTTTACAGAAGCATGTCTATACATATACAAATTTCTGATTTTTAAAGTTTTTATTTAACACTACCACTATGAGCAACCTGAGATTCTTTCACAAAGTAATTAGAAACATTTTTTTTTTTTTTATGTGCAAAACTAGCTTCTCAATAATTGATATTACATTTCTGTCTAGCTTTAAAAAACATCATTGTCCCACTTAAGTTTCACGTAATGAATAGTAATTTACGTCACTGGCTTAAATTAACATGTGGAAGGCTTTCTTTGCCAATATACATTGTCTTATCTAACAAACCAACCACAATGACGTAGTCATGCCAAAAAGAAGAGAGTACATTTCAAGTACATCCACACTGCGGTAGGAAGTGATTAGTGCCCTTGATAAGTGGCTACGTAAGGACAAGTTAATTGTTATTCATTTAATATTAAACGTTAGTCTTTATCTGTATTGATTAGAGTCAAATATAATGTTTTAGAGTCTGCTGACATCTTTCGTTCTGAGAGTCAGGGGTGATGCAATTGACTCTAATATCATCAAAGTTCAAGAGAAAAGGTTGCTTTGAAGATAAAGATAGCAAAATTAGCTGTAAGTAAGTCCAAAAGGACAAGCTAATACCTGATTAATCCAGCAATAGAGGTTTTGCACAGCAGCCATGTTGCATGGCAGGAACAATAGATTATTTTTCCCATGGGAAAAAATTTTCCTTCTTATGCAAAATATTTTCATTGTTCCTGCCATGCAAAACCTCTATACTAATAACTTTTCATCCTTTTCAACGTTTTCAAAATTTTCCTTCAGGTCTATCCTACTTAATTAAATTTATACATGTCAAGAGTTGTTAATCGCTGATTTTGAAAGTGCGCAACTATATTGATCCTATTTTCAAAAAAGTTTTGGTCGCCAAGTCACTCCAATTATAGTATGCACGTAGCAAGATATAATATTATGTACAAGTGGTTATGATCTCTTGCTGCTAATTCTATAGAACATTATGAGTGTATTACAACTTAAAGTACTCAGAACTCAGCTAAAGTAAAGTGTATTTTTTTAAAAAAAGATAAAATAAGGTTAGGATACTTTGCAGACAGGACTATTCAATTCGTGCAAACTCCCGCTGTGCTCACAAACACACAACACTAGCCACAATCAGTTCAAAATACTGATATAATGACTTAGCTCTCAAAGTTTTCCTAAAGGACCTGATACTTCTTTAGGAAAAAACACTCAATACTAAACTTTTCATTTATAATTTTCTCATGCAATCTTATCATCATCCACAATGCTTAGAAAGAAGCAGAAGCAAGTCTTTAAAACATATAAATTTTGGTAAACAGACTTAATTTATTATATTACCATAACTACATGTATGATTACAAAATGCTATTTATGTTGAATATTGCCATGATTTGCAGCTTTCTTTTTCAAAATTAGTACCCTAAATGCATTAGCCTAAAAACATTGGGATCAAATCTTTATCTGAGAAAGTTTTGGGAAGTAACAGGCTGAAATCTCTGTGAGCTGAACATATGTGCTTAAATCTGAATTTTAGGAAACCAATTCAACCAACTTCGGTGACAAATGAAAAATCCTAGTTAATCCAGAAACTGGATTGAATCCAGCCATAAAAAATATTTTGGGTTATTCAAGCACTTTAATCAGAGAGTCAATACTTTTCATTATACTTAACTTCTATTACAATGACACCAAATCATCCGTTTCAAAGACAAAATTGAGCTTAGTAGTCGGTATTGCAACTAATTGTTATTTGTTGCTAAATTGTCTCTGCTCAAGTAATCTTTTAAATTACCAAGCTGAATCCAAATAAGCTGGAGTTTTTTTGGGTTCTGATGCACAATGTTTGATTGTCTGTTGGCAATGGTGAGAAAATAAAACCTTGGCTTTACAATCACAACCAGCATTATATCAGATGCAATATCTTCACTCTGCTGTGATATGTTCACCCAAGTCATACAATTTCAACTTGTTTGAATTTCCTGTTTACATCTAGTAAAAACAAATCCAACTTCAAACGTTTGAACCACTATGATTACATGTTGTGTTTCTATAATCTAAAATCTCTTTGACCTTTGGGTCACTGGTCAAAAAGCCACATAATTTAAAGATAAATTATGATCCATGCATAAAACTGCACATCTATCACTTGAGTTTCATTTTGTCAGCTGAATAACTGAAGATACCATGTTTTGGGTGGAAGTTGCATCGGAATGGAAGTAATGAGAGGTTGTGTCGACATCACATAAAAGATCCTAAATAACAAAATTATCACTGGTACAATGCATATATGAAAGTTCATATATTTTCATATATTCATATATTCAAACAGCGCTCTCTAGTGCGAGAATCATGCATCATACGTAAAATTATTACTATTGCCAGTAATAACATCGTGTGAGCTTTCAGTGAAAACGAAGTTATTTCACTTACCAAATCCGCCGCCACCGATATTCTTGTCCTGTCGGTCAAAAAGAAAAGATGCACTTGACATAAACGAGATTTGTTTCACTTTGTGACTAAAACTAAACATTCTCGATTTATACAAGCATTCGCTGTATAACTAGCGATCAAAATCTTACTACAGATGGGCTATTTCACAACGCTAATTAAAGATTTACTGGCAAGTAAAGTCTGTTCTCGCGATCGATGCAAATTTTAGAGAGATAAATGTGAATTGTCACATTCAACAAGCAGAAATGAAAATTCGACAAACACAAGCCGAATTATCTACAGGTAGCCATGACATGTACATAATTATTTACATTTGCACAGCAGTGTTGGCCAAAGTACAGTTTTAGGAATAAAACATTTAGTGTATTGTTGCCTTTCTGTATTTAATAAATTTCGCCTTGCTGCCATCTCTCTAAAAGTACTACTGGTGATCGTAAAATAGCGCAGAATGTGGCCGCGTTCAAACAAGGTTTTGTGTTGCAGTCCCACTAGAGTCTTGATTACTAAATCGAGCCGGCATTTCCTTGAAATTCGCTAAGTTACGAAATCACGGAAATTTCTGTACGCAGTTCGCTATCCTGTGTTTAGAGAAAATCGAGAATAAAATGTCGGCCAAGCGACCTTGTTTCTCCATTATATGCACTAATGAAACGCAATAATATCAAGCACCGGTGCAAAAAAGTTTCAGCTGTTCTGATTGTAACTGCGAGGTTGTCCATTCAGTTTTACACTTGAGACTCAAATGATGGGAGACGAAAATCACAGGTACGAAAAATAGGCAAAAGTTCTATCCAGTACACTTGAATTACTAACATAGAAAGGTAAATATTAAGTAGTTGAACGTTTCAAAAAACATTTCACGACAGAGCTAGTTTTAAAAAGTCAAGCGTTCGCTACTTACGATCTTCCATCTCTGCCTCACCACGTCGCCCGGTGTTAGAAGATCCGCCATTAGCTACCTGCCTTTTATAACGCTAAAACCGAGTAAAAACATTGGAAAATTATTATAGGAGAGGAACTCTCCCACCTTCCAATTGCTGTTGCAATACTACACAACTCTAAACCACTATAAATGACTCATGTTCGCTTCTTTTTATGTAAAATTCAACGAATATCAATGAACTAGCCGATAATAATAGTCCGTTGACTAAACTGAGACCACGACAGGAACATGCAGCCGCCAGCGGAACTACACAAGGAAATTAGAGACAGTCATCCCAACACAGCGGTAAACTACCATCACATTTTGATAGGTTGTGTAATAGAAATGTCCTTTATTTCACAAAATGGCGGAAGAACAGCGGGGGAAGGAAAAGGAAACATAAATGGCAAAAGATTCTCTCATTTACAACATTTCATTTAAAGCCTGTGGAAAATGAAAAATTTGAAAGATTTCTGCGGATCTGGAAATGGAACTTCTTTAATCGTGTGGAAAACAAATGATTTTGGTTCTTGTTTTCAGCTCTTGTGTCTTGTGCTCCCAGCTAATTTTTTCTTGATTTGTTCAAGCATATTCTTTGCCAGTGGAAAGAGGCAGCGATTTCCAATTCAAGAAAGTCGCCTTTACTTGTACTCAAATCTGCAAGTTGTAGTTTCTTGTTTGATTTTTCTGGAGTCGCCGATTGAAGTTGTGTGTTCGTGGTTCGTTCATGGCTATCACCCGCCGGTTTATCTCGTTACGAGTTCACTTGTTGCAGTAGCATGGATTTCAAACGCTGTGAGTGTGCGGAGAAACAGGCACGTTATCCTTGTGAAAAAATGCTACGCTACACTTCATGTCATGATTATAGTTTTGGCATTTCTTGCAACAATTGTACAGTTCTATTCAGTAATTTTGAGTATCGAAAGACATGGGTTTGATTCACTTTTTGTACACGAGTACGGCTCTATATGCAGATTTTCTCTCCAAGTTATCTTTCTGTTTCTTCTTATTCCACCAACCTGAGTTAACCGTGATTGGATTGGGTTACATGTGGAATTCTCGTCATCAACTGCATACACCGATATTCAGGGTGGGACAGAAAAAGACGCTTTGCTACGAAATGCCTCAAGAGGTACATTTTACAGTGGAACACAGTGCATCTTGGATGATCTTGGAGTTGCAGAGGAAAAAGCTAATACTTTTTCTAAATTAACATTCTGGTGGGTGAGACCTATGATGAAAAAGGGCTCAAAAGGAAATCTCCAATGTACAGAAGATCTGTTTTTACTACCTCAAAGTCTTTCAACAAAAAGGCTGAGAATTCTTTTCTCAGCTAATTTTGATAATTCAAACAAGGATCAAGATGCAAGAAATAAATTGGAGGATAGCTTTTCAAGTGAATCTGGCTTCAGTGGCATCACATTTTCTCCAGGCACTATACAAAAGAGTGTATCAGATCCAAACTTTCAAAGATATTCCAATGTGAGAAGAATGACAAGTGATAATAGTCAAGCTAGTACAGAATTTTCTGGAAAGGAAGGTAATGGCCTGTCAGGTCCTGAAGTAAATAATCCACAATCCCTCTTAAGAGCTCTTCACCATTCATTTGGTCTGCAGTATTACTGCATTGGACTTCTGAAATTAGCAGGAGATGCTCTCAGCTTTGCTGGTCCTCTTTTGCTTCATGCGCTGGTGTCTTTCATGGAAAATAGACAGGTTAGTCACTGCTTCAAGCTTGATGCTTTTCAAAGCTGCCATTTGGGGACCTAGAAATTGATAATATGGTGGCCAGAGATGGAATTTTTGTGGCATGGAAAAAAAAGACACTTAATGCAACATTACGTGACATACTAATAAAACTTCTAGCATATTCACCGAATCAAAATATGGCGTCCAATTTAATTTACCATTGTTTTGGACTTACTAGCCTCGTCTTCACGTGGAAACACAAAAGGATTATCACATGTGTGAGAGGCTAGTAAGTCCAGAACAATGGCAATTCAAATTGGACGCCATATTTCGATTCGGTGTATGAATTAAATAAATTAAATATGATTTTAGCAACAAAACAGGAAATGAATGAAAATGAGAAAAAAACTTGTACATATTAGGAAATATTATTATTGTTAAATCTGACTAATTAAATTTCAATTTTAGACCAACAAATATTTTGTATTGAATTTGTCCTTGGTTGAATTTTTTCAAAAACTACTTCAATTTTCCTAGTTTCTTTGTCTTTTTCCTTATCATAGAATAAGTTAATACACTGAATTGTAAAATGAAAAATTTATCCAAGAAAATCTTGGATAATTGAATGAGGACCTAGACAAAACCTGAGGATGTCTAGTAAATTAAAAGCAAGGATGAATACTCAACAGAAAGTGGAGCAACACTTTAGCTTTAAGCAAACTAGTGTTAAGGTGCTTGTTCAATTGCTCGCCATTATGATGATTTGTTGCATACAGTTACATCTGCATTTTTCTTTCAGGAACCAATGTCTCATGGCTATTATTATGCAGGTGGATTATTCTTGACAACATTTTGTGCAGCTTTTATAAATTCACAGTTTAATTACTGGGTTAGTTGATATGCCATTGTTATTTCCTTGTTAAGAAAGAAATTTAAGAAAGCTAATTGACTCTGCAAGCTCTATACATCTTCTATCTTAAAATGAAGGCCATGTTATGTTGTAGAATTGCTACTTTTATTTCTGTTTTCAGCCAAAATTCAACATGAAATCAGAGGTTTTCCATTGAAAGTTCTCTAAATTTATATTGGATATTAAGAAATTACTTGCACAGCACATACATGTAAATGTACTATATCATATGAAAAACAATACAGTATAGTTAGTAGACTTACTACTAGTGAAGCAAGCTTGCAATTGTTCACCATGATTCTGCAAAGTACATGTATAAAGCTGTGGCCATATATGCAATATACTCATTTACTTTCAGAGTAATTTTTTTGATCCGTTAATTTGTATATATAATCATTTTGTTTCTCTTAATTATAATAATCTGTTAATTACTCTTTTGTGGTTTCCTTAGGTGAATAGAGTTGGCTTGAAAATCCGAGCTGCTGTTATTACCACAGTCTACCACAAAGCATTATCTGTCAGCCTTACCACTTTGTCCAAGTTTACTACAGGAGAAGTATGATCTGAAAAATTTCCCTCCTTCCAACTGATATCACATACTGTATTTGGCGCTTAGTCTTTCAAGGCACAGGAAGTTTATGGTGCATATTGTTCTAACACCAAAATTTCTTGCAACTAATTTACAAGAAAATGTGTAGCAGTTAAAGAGGAGAATTGACAATCAGATCTTGGAGTTTAAAGTGTTAAGCACTATGGTTATCCTGGTTTCTGTGACATGAAGTGACTAGAATAGGAACAGTCTTTCCTTTTCAGTAAAGTCTGGGTGCAAGACAAAGAAGAAAAGATTTTTTTGATGATTTCTTTACTTGCACAGCAGACTTCACTGAAAATGAAGGGCTTAACTGGTAGTCTTATGAAGTGATGAATGGCATTGTTACCCCTCGCGGATGACATGCAAGTCTCTTGCAGGTTGTGCTCTCCCCCAGTCCCCTTAGCATTGTGTCAAGGTCCCAAGAGTTTGCCATTCATGCTATCTTGTGTATTAAGAGACAAGTATCTTGCTGCAGAACACAACACAATGGCCTGGCCCTAACTTTGACCCTGATCTCTTAGGCACTAGCCATTGGGCTTCTATATATTTTATGCATTGATTTAAAATCTTGATTCGTAGAGACTGATGCACTCTTGTGTATATCTTTGTCACTTGGGGATGGTCTCTTGCCCTCTGGGATTGCAGTAAATCAACACCACCTAAGAAGAAGAATTTTTTTATATGTGCACGATCCTTCGCAGTAAAGCACTATTTGAGCAATAGTGAAAATCAGACCTGAAAAAAATTTCAGGCCTGTACAGGATTCAAACCACTGACCTCTGCAATACTAGAGGTCAGTGGTTCGAATCCCTTACAGGCTTGAAATTTTTTTCAGGTCTGATTTTCACTATTGCTCAAATAGTGCTTTACTGCGAAGGATCGTGCACATATACGTTTCATAACCGCAGTTCATACATATGTTTCATATGTTTGTTGTTAAGAAGAATTTTAATAATAAAAAGTTGACTTCCAAAAGAGAGGCTATGTTAATTTAAAGTTTTCTTGTTTTTGATATTGACCAGGTGGTGAACTTTATGAGTACAGATACAGATAGAGTGGTCAATTTTGCTACAAGTTTTCACCAGTTCTGGAGTTTGCCATTTCAGATTGCAGTATCACTGTACCTTCTTCATCAGCAGGTAAAATCTACTTTTGATTCTTAAGAGTGGAATATTTTTTTCTCTTAAATCTCACTCTTTAGCCTCTACATGAACTTGTATGACTCTTTATCTTAGGTTGGCGTATCTTTCTTGGCTGGCCTGGGCTTTGCCATTCTTTTGATACCCATCAACAGATGGTTAGCTGAGAAGATTCAGAAATTAAGCAAAGAAATGATGACACAGAAGGACAGTAGAGTTAAGGTAGAGATCTCAAGTATACATTTTTGAAGAGTCTTAGACTAGAAAATTTGCAGTTGAAGAAGTGGTCTTACAATTAGGGTACTAGACTTGTGGTCAAGAAGTCCCGGCTTGAGATGCGTCAATGTGTTGTGTTCTTGAACGAGACATTAACCTTCCTCACTTTTTTAAACTTTGATCTGAATATTAACAGTTGTTTAATATGTTTGTTTTGAAACTGGTTGACCACAGAGATATTTGCTTTCCATATTGCTAGGTTATGAATGAAATTCTACAAGGTATAAGAGTGATAAAATTCTACGCCTGGGAGAGAAACTTTGAAGAGAAGATAGAAAAGTTGAGGTTAGCATTTTTTGTGACTACATTTCAGGGGGTCTCTAAAAAAATTTTACCCATCACATCAGTTATAAGAAATGAAGAATGATTCCAACTAAATTTAGTTTTGCAAATCAGTAAAACCAAATTAGAATGTTTGGTGCGATTAACTGTTTATTTCCTGTAATTTGATCAGCTAGTTTTGTTTAATTGGCTGTTATAATTTGACTTGCACAATGAAAGCATGCTTCTTCATTTTTTTAAGGGGAATTAACACAGATGTGTGCATATGATTTTTAAAAAAGTTGCACTGATCATGCATGGGGTATGAAATTTGCTAAATGAAATTGACCATTTCCGAATTACTTTTGGCCTCTTTTCAAAACAAGGCCTGATACCCAACCATTGTTATGAAAATGAGTTTTATTTTCATGTGAATGAAAACTTATAATCATATGAGAGGGTGAGCTTTAGGACTCGTTTTGAAAAATAGGCCAAAGGTAATTTGGAAATGCGCTTATTTTAAAAAGTGCTGTGTGAACTGGTGTTTTTTTTTCTTTTTGTCCTTTTTACAATGATTTCTGATCATTTCTAGTATTCACACGTTGCAATTTTCTGTAGAGCTGCAGAATTGAAGAGTTTAAAAGGAAGGAAATACCTGGATGCCTGGTGTGTGTATTTTTGGGCAACAACGCCAGTCATCATTTCCATACTGACTTTTACTACATATGCTTTGCTGGGAAATAAGCTCACTGCAGCTAAGGTACTTTCATTGAAAAAATTCTCCCAAACAATCTGTTATTAATTTTGTGCTAAAAACTTTGTGCAGGAAAATGAGAGGAAATATTTGTCCTAATCTGTTTAAATCTGTAAGCATACTGTTAAAATGTAGCCTGAATCCTCTGTTGCTTCAGCTAATTAAAAATCTTCTGACGGACTCTTGCAGGTCTTTACAAGTGTGGCATTGTTTAACATGCTAATCTCTCCACTGAATGCCTTTCCTTGGGTACTCAATGGATTAATGGAAGCCTGGGTATCAGTCAAAAGGCTCCAGGCTTTTCTCTCTTTAGACAACCTGGACCTGACTGGGCACTACCAGCAGCTAAACCATTCACACAGCGGGGATAGTAAGTACTGATTGAGTATTAAATATTTTGTATTTTGAGTTTGAAGAAAAAATGAGCAATAATTATGTTGGCTTAGTGATTTTCAGCCCCCATAGATGTGGTTTTGTCATTATTGAGAGCACAAAGGAGATGTTTGCTCCTTTAAGGCTGTCCCCTTTTAATAAACTCCCAAAGGTCACTAGGTGTGTAGGCTGTCTACTTGCAGTCTGTTGTTAGTGCAGGGGGCATCCAGGATTTTTTTATAGGGGAGAAATAATTAATCATTGCTTTCAGTCGACAGAATTAGTAGTTATGAAACTTTTAGTTCAACGTACCTGAAAGGGTAAATAACAACTCTGTATCTAAGTTTTCCTATTGCAATTTTTCACTAGTGCCCAAGCCTCCTGAAGTACTGATACAGAACGGTCATTTTAGCTGGAAACAGCCTGAAGAGCCTGATGAAGAGGAGCAGGCTTTTATTACCACTGGAGACCTAGCAAATATTGATTTATGCATAGAAACAGTAAGCAACACTTTTGGAACAACTTTTAACTGATTATTGAGAGTAAACCGGGATTACATTGGTTTCACATGTTTCGTATGTGAAGGTGCAAAGGCGATAAATTTGCTCTGATGATAAGCGTGAATTTTATCAGCCTGCGTGGCAGACGCTCGTGGTAAGGGCGAGAGTACACTTGCGCCATAAGGCAAACACGCGTGACATCTTGGCTGCGTAGGGCATTTGCCAATAATTCGCATCTGGTCTGATATAATTCAATCAATATTAATTCAATATTAATTCAATCAATATTAAATCAGCTTTGAGTTAGTTGAGTCTTCTTGATATTTTATCTTTCCAGGGCCAGTTAGTTGGGGTGATTGGTAAAGTTGGTTCAGGGAAGAGTTCGTTGTTATCTGCCATCACCGCAGAAATGGACAAAAGGCTTGGAGAGGTATGCTATCTTATGCGCACATTGTCAGCGCTGCAGAACGCGCGTTTGTCCGCCACCGGGAAGATTGGAGACGAGTCTGGCGAGAGGTTTGGGGAGTTTGGGCTCTGGCACCAATAATTATCATCACCAGACCCCTTATAGAACTCTCGACGGCGACGCCGATACCTACGATTGTCATAAAAGGGGCAAAATTACTGAATTGTGATTGGTCAAGACAGAGGGCATTTTTTCTTAATTTTTGTAATTGCCCCGGGCAAAATTACTTGAAAATGATTGGCTGAAAATCGCTTAGCAACGGCTGCCAAGGTAAAGAAATTTCTGTTTGTTTTGTAACAATGGCGTCCCGTTTTGCGCGAGATCAGTAAGAAAACATTTTGCCCCTTATATTATAAACAAGTAATCACATGGTTCCTCGTAAAATTAAGGATTAATATCACTTGTGTTTTCGGAAGTTGCAGAAATTGCCCTCGTCGCTGCGCGGCACGGGAAATTTCAGCAACTTCCGAAAACGCGCGTGATATTAATCCTTAATTTTACTCGGCCCCATGCGACTACCTATATATATCGCGATACTCTTGAGTCATTTAGTTTGTTTCTCACTGTCAAAACTATCTCGAAACTGAATGTGGAACACAGCATTAAATTAGTTATAGAAATTTAAAACATTAGCCGTCGTCGCTCACTTTCTCTGGACAACGCAAAGTTTGGTCATTTCACGTTGGTGTTTTGCAAAGAAATTTACAAATATATATAACGCACGTGCACAGCTATTGTTTTATTTCTTAAATCTTTTGTATAGAGAAATTCCCGTTGCCTTTCTTAACCTACCACTATTGGTAGTACTTTTCTGCGGGCGAAGAAAGGCACGCGCTGAAGCGCTAAGAATGACGGCGTGCTCGCCGGTTCTCTGTTCAGTGTTGTGCCCATCCTTAATGGGCTCTTGTCTACTTAAGCTGTTTATTGATTACAGAATTCTGCTCGGCTCAATTTCTTTTGTCTTTGATCAAAATAGGTTTTTGTCAAGAATCTTGAACGAGGCTTTGGTTTAGCTACCCAGGTGAGAGAGCCCAAAATGACAAGCTTACATTTTTCTCTGAGGACCACGGAGAAAACCAGTTCCAAAAAAACAAATGATCTCATAATACCCGCATTGACTCCGCGCCACAGTTTCTTCCAGTAGAGACTTGCCCCCTTAGATAACTTCCGACCGAACTTGCTTTTCTCACGGCTTGTCAATGTTGGGTGGAATTTTTAATTTTTTTAAGAAACTTCATTCAACGTACTCATGTTTTGGCTAACTGTTGTAGATCTTCATTTAATTAGATTCAAAGCCATGAAATTTGCCTTTCATTATTGAGTCCTCCATTATAATTGTATTCCACTTTTCTCGGGTCGCATGTTTTCCGCATTTTTTCATGCGTAACAAATAAACAAATAATAATAGGTAAATAAATAATTTAGAAGTGGACATTCCACTGGGTGGCTCTTATTGTCCACTGTTTCCAGATCGAATTGGAATTTGGAATGTTGGTTTTTGCGGAGGAAGGAAAACCAGAGGACCATGAGAAAAACCCTCGGAGTAAGGAAAAGATAACCAACAAGAAACTCAACCCACATGTGACGCCAGGTCTGGGCACCACTCTACCATCCCTACTCCCCTGCTTTCTTTAGACGTTTAACCCTTTACGTCCTAACATCAGTATGCATATTCTCCATACTGTTCTCTATACATTTTCCACGGTGCCGACAAGGAGAATATTCAGTTTAACAATCTAGAGCTTCTTTAATTGGTGATTATTTCCTTTATTCTCCTGACCTTAATGTGAGATTCAGGGGTGATATTGTAAGGAGAAATTAGAAGCTGGTCATTCTAAGGAGTTGAAGGTTTAAAGATATTTGTAGCTGTTGTGTTGGGCTAAATTTGCGTGTTTTTGTTTCTAATACTCAAGGAACCGTGGATTCAACATGGTACAGTAAAAGAAAACATCCTGTTTGGTAAATCCTTTGATTTTGAGAAGTATAACGCAATAATCTTCGCATGTGCGTTGGTGGAGGTGAGAATAATTACAATTTTTTCTCCTTAAGGCATCAAATGAGGTGTTGTTGCTTGAGCATGACCTTCAAGACCAGCTTCTTCCTATCTTTCTCGCTTGACGATGGGATTGGGTGCCGACGAATTAGTAGTTTTTCAAGAGCCTGGCAAATTGCTGCGAAGGGATGGGGGAGTGCGTAGTTAACCTTTGACGGACTAGCATTCCAGCATTCCTGTTGCTCATGCCACCAAAAATACGTACTCTGTTGTCTTGACGAGAAAGGAAAATAGTTTTCCTTCTCTTATTCTGTACAGTTTTGTAGGAGGCTTAAGTCTGTACACCCAAAGCCAAAGCCTATTCCAGTTTCCTGTACGTGACACAACTTGGAGTATCCCTACTTCCTTCCTTGGAGCGGATGCTAGTCCATCGCAAGGTAACCCCCTCCCCACCCTCCCTAAGGATTTCATCAGGCTTCCCTGACAATTCGCCGGTACCCTAAGTGGAGAGAGAGAGACTGTAAGAGTTAAATGTTCTGCCCAATAACACAAAACATTGACCCGGTGACCTGGTTTCGTTATCATTTCCTTCCATTTGCTTTGGATTTTTACAGTAACACTAATAAGATCATTTTAATTTGAAATTTTGTCCCTTTTTTTTTTTCTTAAATCTTTCAAAGGATCTTCAGATGCTCCCTTCAGGTGACGAAACGGAGATTGGTGAGAATGGCGTGACCCTGAGCGGAGGACAGAAGGCTCGTATAGCTCTGGCAAGAGCTGTTTATCAGGTTCAAACTTTTTACGTTTGTATCGGAGAGCCTTGATTTCTAAAATCGTGAGATGTAACTACTTAGTTGGTTAATGTGTTTTCAAGATAGTTCCTTCAGTTTGAGAGTGCGCCGATTAAAGGCGGTGCCCATCAGACAATTACAGGGTAGAACGGAAGCATTTATCGATTGAGTGTCGTAAAACTATAACCAAAGTGATCCCAACGGACACTCGGAAAAAGGAAAATAACTTTAAGAGCCAAAGAGAACTCAAAGTAAAAACAACCAGACTGGGGGAAAACGCGGCCAACAAAATCGGGATTGGTCTGAGTCTCGTATCTAATTGGTTAAGAGGATGGCGCGATTTTTCTTGACCAATCACAGAAGAAAGTAAAGCCAAACGAATGGAATCCTGTTTTACTTTCGACACAAAATTGCACTTAGACAAATGATTTCAATATTTCCAGATCTAATCAATCGAGTGACGGGTAGGAAACAATGAAATAGATACTTGCTCTCTTTGAACAATAAGCAAAGATAACAGTGTCGATTAAATTTATAGTTCCCCTTCATTTTTCTCCCAACAAAAGACAACTCCTCTCCTTTTTCCCACAGGACAAAGAAGTCTATCTCCTTGATGATCCCTTGGCAGCAGTGGATGCGCATGTTGCCGCTCACCTCTTTCACCATTGCATCATGGGAATCCTTCATAACAAGACCAGAATACTTAGCACTCATCACACTCACTTCCTCTCTGCCGCTGACCTGGTTGTTGTTATGGATCACGGCTCGATTGCGTACACAGGGCCGCCCGAGGGAATTCTTCACACCGAGAAAATAATGAAAAGTCTGGCAGGCAACCCAACTGAGGGAAAGAACCCAGAAACAAACACGAAAAAAGAATCAGATGAGCTGGAAGGAGAGATCACCGACGAAGGTTTAGTAAAAGAAGAGGAGAAAGAAGTCGGCGTGGTCAAACTGCATGTGTACAAATCTTACTGGCTGGCGATTGGTCATTGCTTGGCAACGAGTATTTTACTGTCGCTGTTTTTAATGCAGGGTAATGAAACCATTATTGATAGAGTCAAGAGCAAATTTGAATTGAGTGATGAAAGAATTTGGGATTACATTGGTTTGCTTTACTTTTGCTGTCTTGTAAACTTGCTCCTTTTCTCAACCAGGCAATCGGATCAGCTTCTTTAGTTGTTGATCATTTCCTTTATTCTCCTGACCTTAATGTGTGATTCAGGGGTGATATTGTAAGGAGAAATTAGATGCCGGTCATTCCAAGGAGTTCAAGGGTTGGGAGACTTCATGCGAGCAATTAAGAACCATAAATAAATCATAAACCTAACATATAACCTGGCTCGTAAGCGAGTGTTCTGGAGATCAATCGGAGGATTATCCGCTTGGAGAATTGGAACGGAACTGGAGTACATTCATCGTGGAACATACAGACCGGAAGTAAGCCGGCCTGGGTTTGAATCCATACAGGGACTAAGATTTTTCTGTGTCGCTCGTGACACGTTTTTGAACAACTCTCTTCATAGTGAAAGATTTTTTTCGTCTTGTCGCGAGCGTGGGACAAAGAAAACATTCTGAGTCTCCATGAGGAATTGAACCTTCGATCTCCGGATTCTGCGCTCTGATGCTGTATCACTGAATCACGGAGACACTATGTTGAGCAAGGCTATTATGAATTTCATACATGACACGCAATGTGGATAGCGTCATGTTTTGTAATAGAATAAGAAAGATGGTGAGTTTTTGAGCTCGGTAAAGAATTAGAGGAAGACGTTTTTCGTCTTGTCACGAACTTGGGACTAAGAAAAAATCTCTTCTTATTTATTTACTGGTTCTCATTTTCAGCTTCTCGTAATGTAAGCGATTGGTGGTTGGCCTACTGGATTTCTCATTCCCGCGGGAACAGCACCGCAGCACATCATCACGTGAACTCGTCATCAGCCAATCACCTGAATCACTTGATTCCACAAGTGCTGACGGCTGACCAACTGGGATTACCGCATGTTCACATAGTTAAGAATACCATTACGTTTTATCTGGTGGTGTATGGAGGACTTGCTGTCGCTAACACGGTACGGCTACTTGTCTTGACGCTTCCAGTGTCTTACGTATCTGTGTGTACTTACATGTGGTTAATTAGTGCAATCGCGATCATATAGAAAATAAGATTTCCCCGGAAGTTATGTCCCCGGAAGTTATGTCCCCGGAAGTTATGTCCCCGGAAGTTATGTCCCCGGAAGTTATGTCAAGAAGTCATGATGGGGAGAGTAATTCGAACAGTCCCCAATCTTAGGAAGCTCCCCCCACGAGGGGGCGGAGGTACTTATTTCAAACTGCAAGTACATGAAAGGAAAGGAAAATATGTTGCATAGCTATCAATATGGCCTTTGATATCCTCCTGTTATATCTTTCTTTAACTTCATCCTAAGTGTCTGTGATTAGGTTTAGGAAGAGGGGTAATATTTCCGATTTTGACCCCAAGGAAAGGGTTAGGGACTTTATATTGGGGGACTTTATATTGGGGGACTTTATATTGGGGGACTTTATATTGGGGGACTTTATATTGGGGGACTTTATATTGGGGCAGAGCCTCATCAGGAAGGCGCGGTGCCCTTATGGTTAGTGCGCTCAACTCCGGATCGAGTGGTCCGAGTTCGAGCGTTCAAGGACATTGTGTTGTGTTCTAAGACAAGACACTTTACATTCATAGTGCACCTTCATCCGGCGAATTTAATGATAGGCGGTAACCATACGATGGACAAGCATCCCATTCAGGGGGGTACTAGAAATACTCCTAGTTTCTTCATGCTACGGAAACCGGGGTTAAGCGCCGGCCTGATGGGCTACTTGGCTCGTAAACAGACTTTTAGAACTTTACCATATAAGACTTTTTAGAATAGGTCCGCCTACCTTCACTCACCCCCCTAAGGGAAGAAAAGTCCGTTTCGTTCGATTGTTTAGCCACCATCGCGGCGGAGAGTCTGGTGCGGGGACACTACTAAGTCTGGCGAAGCAGGGGTGGGGGAATGGTGTCAAAAGGCAGCTATGAAATCTTCTGTCATTTTGAGATATCCTTTTTAGTGACCTTGCGCTCGAACTTGAAGGATCCGACAGGTTCTTACTCACTCTCGTCACCGCATGCAGCACGGAATCAAACCACGTCCTCGTTGTTTGTCCATTTAAGACAACTTTCTTGCTTCAGCCTCACAGGTATTGTTTCTTTGTCGTAGATTTTTACTCTGTTCCGAGCTTTCCTGTTTGCTTATGGAGGCATCTGCGCCGCCAAAGTTCTTCACTCGCGATTGTTGAAAAGTATTTTGTCTGCTCCTGTCTCATTCTTTGATGTTACTCCGGTGAGTTGTACTTAAGAAAAGATAAGATGAGATAATTTCTTTAATGTAAAATACACGGGGAGTGAATTCTTTATCTACCAATCCCGAGGCTCATGACAGAAGTGTTTGGCAAGCTTTTCTTTTCTTGTTCCCAGATTGGACGTATCGTCAATCGGTTTTCCTCAGACATAGTAAGTATCTATTAACTTATTTCATTTTGAGTTCACTGGTGTGTCTTGGTGAGTTATAACTTAGGTTCTAAGACGGAATCTGACGAAGAATTTTCGCAATCTTTCTCATGAAGATTGCAGCATGGTCTTGTCATTGTGGTAGCTACTCCCTCAAGCTCCGTCAAGAAAGGAAAAACAAAAAAAAGAATTACTTAGTAGGTGTAACACTGCTTCACTCCGCGGAAATTTCACTTCCCAACCATGACAATAGGACAGACAGGAACCAGCTGACCGCAAAATTCGAAGTTTTGTTACCTTCTACTCTGTGGACATTTCACATCCCAATTGTGACGATGCGACAGACCGCAATCAGCTGACCAAAAAATTCGAAGCTTTGTTAACCTTCTCATTGCTTTTGATGTGGTTTCTCTTTCAGTATTCTATTGATGACAGTCTCCCCTTTATACTCAACATTTTTCTGGCCCAGGCCTTTGGCGTTGCCGGCACTGTGGTGATAACATGTTATGGTTTACCGTGGTTTGTGCTCGTTCTAGTCCCTCTCGTCCTTGTGTACTACCTCATTCAGAATTACTACCGTAGAACATCCAGGTAATTCGAACTTCCAGTTAACGCTTTTCAGGAAAGAAAATTTATATTTGCGACCAAGACCTGTTAGCAGTTGAGGTCATTGGATCACCCTGGCTTTGTGACACCCAATAGCAGCTCTTCGCATAGGTCAACTCAGTCGAACTAGACTGCAATCACTCGTCAGTTATACGCCCTTGAATGGTTTCTTTCCTATCCCTAGAGAGTTAAAGCGTCTTATGAGCGTAACGTTGTCGCCGATTTACGCGCACTTCTCCGAGACTCTAACGGGACTGGCCACCATACGAGCGCTGAGAGATGAAGAGAGATTCAAGCAAGAGAATGAGTACAGACTCGAAATCAACCAACGGGCGAATTTCTGTGGTAAGATGCGCCCTGCATTCTTTAAGTCCCTGAGTTGTGTTGAAACAGAACCACGTGATGTGATGGAATCAAATTGATTCTGGTAATAACTCATTCAAAGAGTTAAAGAAAAAGGCAATGGAAAAGTCTTGTGGGAGGAGGGGGAGAAGATCTTTGAAAAGTTATGTGGGGGAGGGGATCGCTGTCCAAAAAAATCTCTTGCATTCTTTGTGGGGGTAAAAGCGTTTGGATGTTTGGAAGGTCATGCGATAATTTTTGCGCCAGGCTCCCTGCTTTCGGGCCGTTTAAACGCAAAATCAGCAAAGCTCTGTAAGGCAGGGCGTTCATGGTAAGCAGCTTCTAGATATAGTATGGTTCTGAGTTATAATTATAGTTGTATAGTTATAGTTTAATCATTATGTAAATAGCTCATGAATTGCCCGTGTTCAAATGCCGTTTGTAGACTGATTGCTTGTGTATAGCAGATGGGATCGGTAGTGTTCGCTTCGTGAACCCTGTTTTGGGACCAAGAGAATAAGAGCGTATTTCTATGCGATGCAAGAGATCAACAAGTTGACTCCTTTTAATGGAATTGTTTCTCATTTTCCAGCACTTGTTGCTTCTCAGTGGCTTGGGCTTTTCCTGCAATTCATTGGCGTTGCCATGGTAACAGCAGTGGCATTCATTGCTGTGCTGGAACATCATTTTAGCACCGTAGATCCAGGTAGGTTTTGAATTTCAGCGCAAGCAAGAGACATCACCCTGTAGCTTCAGAGAATAAGCCCTATAAAACTGTATAGTTCACTCCTCCAAAAGTCCTTTGAGGTCTATTGATAAACGTCGAATTTTTAAGATATTGGGCTATTGAAAGAAAGTTTTTCAAATAACACAGCTTGTGCTCAGGAGACACCAAAATAGAGTTCACCACTTGACATTTCCATTACTAAGCTACAAACAGTTAACGCATTCAACACACAATTTTCCAACAAGGTGCTACAACTTGCGCTATTTAAACCCGAATGGAAACGACATAGCTGTTTTTTCTGCGCAGGTCTAGTTGGCTTAGCCATCTCTTACGCACTCTCAGTGACCGATCGACTGTCAGGTATGGTGACGTCTTTCACGGAGACAGAGAAACAGATGGTGAGCGTAGAAAGAGCCGTTCAATACATTGAGGATGTATCGCCTGAAGTTAGCAGTCAAGACACGGTACTTATTAACTTCTAGAATTAACTTCTAGTTATAGATAGAATAAGAAAGGTGGTAAATTTTTAGTTTGTTAGTGAAGAAGAGAGAGACGTCATTTGATCATGTCACGAGCCCGAAACTAAGAAAGCAGTTCTGAGTGCCCATGAGAAAGCGAACCTCAGACCTTTGGATTCCAGGAAAAAAAAAGAAAATAAGTTAGGAAAAACTTATCGACAGACACAGGGGATAGTGAAACATCATAACACCTTTATTATGTCGCTTATCACTGTTTATTTTTCTTGACACTATGCAGTGACATAAAAGGCCTTTCATCAAGTTTTTTTTTTTTTTTTTATCTCATACGAGTTCAAACTGTATGGCTAAACTTCTCGGTTTTACAGGTTCCGAACTCTTGGCCCCCTCGCGGTCAGCTCACTTTACGAAATGTCAGCTTAGTTTATCGGTAAGTTACGTTGTTTGTGGTCATGTGGTGAAGAGGAAACTTGACCGTCTTGCGCGAACTGCTTGGTGTTTTACTTCGCTTGCGCTCTGGGAGCAGTGCTTCAAGTAAAAAACCAATATAATAGAGAGATTTACGACCGCATGTACGTGAAACGTGATCGACAAGAGTGAGCACGTGACTTTGTTTTTCCCGCCATTTTTTCCCGTTTGCCGGTTGCGCTTTGCCGTTTCTACGTGAAAGTAACCTGAAGAAGTAAAATACTTTACTTCAACTTTATTGTATACGTCAGTTTGCATACCATCGTGACTGACTTAATTATCAAAATTACCTGTTATGGCAGAGTACCTCTCATTTGTTTAATGTCCATTTTTTCTTTACAGACCAGGTTTGCCTCAAGCTCTTCGCGGGGTATCATTATCAACGACTGCCGGAGAAAAGGTAACATTAAAGACCATTGCAGGAAAGATGCGTTGAGCCATGTCCTATTTAATAATGGTAAATGAAGCTGTCTTTAAAAGGAAATGTAAAATGACAAGAGGTCTGCTTTTCACGTCTTCCTATCTTAAAAAACGCGACATCTGTCACTTTGTCCGGCGGCATATATTCCTGTTGGAGAATTTCATTCGTAGCTTTGGGTACACGACATGGAAGTGAATGGCAATGCTATCAAAGGTTTGGTCGAGCTATGTTGCCTTACTCATATGAGTGGAGTGATTCGGCTCTGGGTGAGGTAATGTTTCACTTCAACAACAAAAATTTTCAACCCTTGTCAAACTATTTAGTACGGAAAGATTCCCACAACGAAATACTGTCTGTTTTCTCTTTTTGTTTTGTTTGATTGTGCAGCTTGGCATTGTTGGTCGAACAGGCTCTGGTAAATCAAGCCTCTTTCAGGTTCTATTTCGAATGGTTAACAGTTACCAAGGGTCTGTGATAATAGACGGTATCAATGTAGCCTCTGTACCTCTTGAAATTCTCAGGTTGGTATTCCTGTGTGACCAGCTCGGCAAGGAATATGTCGTGGCTATATATATATAGATATATATATATATATTTAATATAATTTCAGAGCTGAGCAAAGAGTTTCCAGCAATCTGATTGGTCGAGCGGTTCCTTAAATGACGCTATATAAACCGCTCCACGCGTTTTATATAAAATGTTAAAATAAAATGTCTCTGTTGTTCAGCTCTGAAATTATACTAAAATAATTATTCGCCTCAGGTTCGGTGAATATTGTCGAACAATCCCCTCGACTTCATCTCGGGAATTATTCGACGATATTCTCCTCGCCTTCGGCGAATAATTGTTAAATATATCTATATATATATAGGGGGGTACCATACATTAGACAATATAAAATTGTGTATTGTAGATAAACTGGGGGGGAGGAGGAGGAGATATAATGGCTTTTAACCCCTCTCTTCCCAGAGCTATTTATTCAGGCTAGCGGTAGTGTTGTAGGCTGAAGTAGCTACCAAGGGGCAAGCATCCCTTATACTTCTATGTATCCCATAACGCATCCCATACAGAAGAGGATGTGAAAATACATATACCCACAATACTCGCAGTCGCCATAAACCACGGAATCTGGGATGAGCTTCAGCTGTGTGGGCCTATTGGCTTGGGTCCTTGGGAGGGATCCGCGGCCCATGAGCTATAAAGCGGACTTTGCCATTTTTTGTCCACGTTTGCTAAATTGTTACGAGACACCTGAAGTCTTTGTTTGGTCGTAGATCTCGACTGGCCATCATTCCTCAGGATGCTTTCCTTTTTAGTGGAGCAGTGCGGGACAATCTTGACCCGTGGAAAAGGGTAGGTGGTCTGTGTATACATGATTATTGTTACTAAAGAAAGAGGAGTTCCTAGTTGCGTTCGAGGTAAGGAGCACACATACTATTCGTGTCGTGTCTGTCTGGACGCTCTGCGATTTCAGGGTTTGGGCGCCATCTTGGACTAGCTAGCCACTTGTCTCGTTTTAATGCGAAACTTTGAATCCCGCTGTCCAATTGTAGTCCTGCGGTTCACCTGCTTCGGTCTGGGTGCCATCGGTGCCAAGGGAAGATATGCAGGTGAATTATAACTATTCGATCGAACGATATGAGTTACTACAAATCAGAACTGTGAGCCAAGCCACCATACGATGTTCTTAGGTTTAATTATGTACTAGATTTTGTCACACTGGGACCAAAATATCCATTCCTGAGCTAGATTGGACCCACTTTACTAGTCTACGTAGAAGTTTTATTAGTGTATTACCTACTTTCTTTTAGTGTTCCGAGGCTGAACTGTGGACGATTTTAGAACGTTGTCACCTACTTCAAGCCGTACGAGAACTTGGTATGCTTTATTGTTTCACTCCCACTGGAGTCCAGCATTTTTCATGTGACTTATTGAACATATTACTTGCAGGTGGTTTGAACGCTGACGTTGGTGAACGCGGGCGACATTTTTCAGTTGGTCAGCGGCAGCTGGTATGTCTGGCAAGAGCGCTTTTGACAAGAGTCAAGGTGATTATCGACAGAATTCTTATTACGGGCTATTGCTATCTAGCACTCAGTCTTTCGAGCTTGCTTGTTCTAGGTAGACGCGGTGGCCTGGTGGTTAGTGCACAAGACTCTCCCCCTCCCTCAACCCAGGAGTATCGTCAGGGAAGCGTGATGCAATGCTGTGGGGTAACCTTGGGATGGACTGATATCCAATCAAGGGGGGGGGAGGGGATTGTAATACTCCTTGTCGCTTGGCTCGACTTGCCGTGTTTCAGGCGTGTAGTTCGTTGAAAGAGTTGCCTTGGTAGCTCCGAGAAAGAAAAAACAGGAGGCGTTGCAAACACATTGAAAAGGATGAAAATGTTCCTTTTGAATAGAAGGGTGTATATCAACGTAAGATTTATAACTCCATTCCATTTCCGTTTGAAAACTCCCCACTTACTCTACCCTGAGATGTGCACATTTCTTTGTTATTAACCCTTTAACACACACGAGTGACTGGGTTCTAATTACTCCTTACATTTTCTTCCTTGTGTCAAATGTAGAAGTCGCGAGGATAGAGGAAATGATCATCAATTTAAGGAAAGAAAGTAAAAAGAGATCCTTTTCTGTTTAGATCGAGAATAACTTCATGGGAATCAACAAATCCCTGCAAACGCCCCTAACTTTATTCCTGTTCCTGTTTATACATGCCAGATTTTGTGCATCGATGAAGCTACGGCGAGTGTGGACCTTGAGACAGACAAGTTAATCCAGAGGACGATTAGAAGTGAATTTAGAGAAAGTACTGTTTTAACAATTGCACACAGGTAACCCCTATTTATTTCAATGTATATTTTGATTTTTTGCTCTTTGTTCTGTCTTGCTTTGTTTTTGTATTTTGTTAGTCTGTCCTTTGATTGGTTTTCTTGTTTCTTAGTTGAATAGTTAGTTTTTTTTTAATTTGTTTGTTTTTTTCTTTTTTTTCGGCCACGGCAAAGTCCAGAAACCGACCAAATGTTGAAAATCCGAGAAGTTATTCTAAAACCCCTCGCCCTGGTGGCTAATTTCGAAAGAGAGTCCACTGAAAGGCAATGCTCTGATGCCTCTTTCAACGATGCAATTTCTCTTGCAGGCTGGACACTATCATGGACAGTGACCGTGTTTTAGTGATGGACCGGGGAACTGTGGTCGAATGCGATACCCCAGGAGCGCTACTTGAAAACAAACATTCTTTCTTTTATGGTCTTGTTCATAGCAGTAGAGCTGAAGACAAATGAACACCGACGAGAAGAAATTTCTTTGCAATTAGCAATTAGAACAGGCATCTAAGGGAGAGCAATTTTAAATTGTGTACTGCGCAAGTGTACAGAGTCTTGAGCGTAACGCCAGCCTCCCCTTCCCAGTGGCAATGAGAACCACACACCCTGTACTTAAATGTGCAGTGACTCCTCGACCTCTCGAAGTAAAATCGCATCTTGTGGGTGTGTGCCACTGTCATTTTACCCTGTTGTTTTCTGAGCTTGCTGGTACTTTCGGGATTGTTTCGTTATGGATAAACAAATGTGTATGAACGTATGCATACAAACTTCCCCAATGGGGCTTTCAAGGCCTCTACGAATGAATGAATGAATGAATGAATAAATAAATAAATAAATGACTAAACATAGTGCTTAAAAATCCTAACTAGTTGGGGCAGACCAGTCGGCTATACACAAAGCTCAACCAAGGAGTTGAACTCGGGATAAACGAGAACAAATGGTGCAGGACTTGAACGCAGGACCATTAGTTGACAGGTCCTGCCTCCTTACCACTCGGCCACAGTGCCTCCGACCCATACTTGTCCCAACGAAAGATTGGAGAAAGCGATGAAATTTGTCAGAAAGTGCAGTTTAACGCAGATAAGTGCAAAGCAAATCTTTCCTTTTAATTTGGATATATCAACAAAGTTGAAATGGTAAATTGGCCACCGTAACGATTACAAAAGCTGACGTTTCGAGCGTTAGCCCTTCGTCGGAGCGAATAGAGGAATTGTGGGTTGTGTGTGCTTTTAAAGGCAGAAAATGGAGCTACGTTATTGGTGGGAACATGGCAACGAGAAAAACANAAATTTGTCAGAAAGTGCAGTTTAACGCAGATAAGTGCAAAGCAAATCTTTCCTTTTAATTTGGATATATCAACAAAGTTGAAATGGTAAATTGGCCACCGTAACGATTACAAAAGCTGACGTTTCGAGCGTTAGCCCTTCGTCGGAGCGAATAGAGGAATTGTGGGTTGTGTGTGCTTTTAAAGGCAGAAAATGGAGCTACGTTATTGGTGGGAACATGGCAACGAGAAAAACAAGAATAAATTAGTGGAATGAAAAGCGTTCGTTGATCCCTGTGGGATTTAGACTGCCGGTTTGAAAGATGAGCTTTTGTTCAAGATTTTTACCGGTTTCCGTGCGACCTTTGTGGAAGGAAAGACCGCAGATTGCCATATGTTGCTTAGAATGATAAGGTAAAATCTTTCCTTACACTTTTCTTTATTATTTTCTGGTAATCTCACTCGGATTCGAACATAGTATACGAATTTTGGAGGTTTTATGTTAATTATTTGTGCTGGTTTATCTATGGTTTCATAGCCTCATAGGAGCTAAGGTTAGTCAATTGACGGTTTTCCGCTGCTAATCAATCGCCGGCGATTCAAACATATCCGATTGCGTGCGCTTAAAGTAATTTGAATCAATGACGACAATTTCTGAAACAAGCTAAAAATGATAAAAATCCTTGCGAAAACAGTTGTACAGATCTCTAGTTCTAATAAACTGTCAAAGAGTAAGTGTCTTGTTTAAGTTGTTAATCATTCTGATCTACAGTTCTCGATGCAAATATTGAAACATTTTCCCTTTCCCGTTGTCAAGTTTGGTTCGATTTACGCAAAACAGCGGTGAAATGTCGAACATACGCTAGAGGATCCATTTTGGCCGGCCGCACGCCAATTTCCCGCGCAAGATTTTAAAGGAAAACATAAGAAACAGCTACTGTTCTGCAAAATATTGAAAAAATTGTGTCACGATGTAATCCACCCCTGTATTATCCCTAAGATCCCCCTCATTGGCAGTTAACTCTTCCTTTTATACTCTGTTAGCGATGACTCAGTCCCTTCTATTGCACCTCCCTCCCCCACCCCTTCCAGGCAATAAATAATGAATGGACCCAAAAGACATCTGACCGCTACGTTGTAAATAGAACTAAACTCAACATTAAGAAAGGAGTGTATTGTTTCAACAAAACTTCCCGAGGATTGTAGCTAACTTCGATTGTGACGTTTTCCCAAATTAAACTACCCGGATCCATTAGCGGCTTGTTGTTTTTTGGCGTCTTCGTATTGAGGCGTCTTCTTGATAAAACCTCTTTCGATCAAACTGTAGGCCATGTCTATTACACTTTTCTTGAAATCTTCAAACTGGATCCCGAAATGGTCTTTGATCTTAAGAAATAAAAAAAAAAACAAACAAACAAACAACAACAAAAATACAAGAGGTGAGCGTTTCCATAATTACTTTGAACTAGACCTAAATTTTAAAACAGCATAAGATAAAAGTACATTTTGGAAGTGTGTCGTAAAAGCAAGAAAGGAAAAAAGTATCTTTAAGAACCAATGAAAACTCAATGTAAAAACAACCATGCTTCCTAAATCGCGGGAAAACGCCGGCGACCGAGGCGCAATTGGTTTTAGTTTTGCATCTGATTGGTCGAGAGAGTGGTACGAGTTATCTGGACCAATCACAGAGCGAGGTATAGGAAAACTTATGAAATCTGGGGTTACTTTGAAACTCCATAGAAAATTTCTCTATATCACGGAGCAAAGATCGTACGATTGTGATTTACCATTCAATTATTAACTCATTAAGCATTAATTCATTATTTATTCGTTATGAGTGAGTTACCTTCGAGTTATCTAACTTGATGTCTTTGTTAAGAAAAGGTAAAATAAACTTCAACGTGCCATCAAACCACGAGGCGATTTTTATCATGACCTTTGGAGCCACTGTGGTGGGAACTTTATAACCTACAAGAATGAAGAAAAACTTTGCTTCTTTTTATTGACTTATTTCATAAGCAGTTTGCATTACATAAAGAGGCCCATTTCGATTTAGTGTCGCAAAATGTAAACTAGGTAATCTCAACACCAACCCGGTAAAATGTCACAAAAAGCCAGTAAGAATTCAAGGTGAAAACTACTTCAACCGCATTTAAAAGTGTAAAAAATGAAAAGCACCTTACCGAGAGGTCTAAATTCTTCATAGAGCAGCTTTGCCATATCATCCATCCAATAACATTCCACAATGGTGAGGTATCTGTTACCTGTTAAAAAGAAAAAGAAAGAAAAGAGGAAAAAGAAACGAGAAATAAAGAGTGTTTCTTTCCGTTTAACCAGTCATAACTGACTGGTTTCTACCAGGCTCTCACTCAAAATGAACAATCTAAAGATGGTCGAGAGTATTGAGGGGCAACTTTGGCTCTGTACCAGGCTCTCTCTTACTCAAAATGAATAATCTGAAGGTGGTCGAACGTATTGAGGGGCAACTTTGGCTCTGTACCAGGCTCTTACTCAAAATGAACAATCTAAAGGTGGTCGAGCGTACTGAGGGGCAACTTTGGGTCTGTACCAGGCTCTTACTCAAAATGAACAATCTAAAGGTAGTCAAGCGTATTGAGATACGACTTTGGAAAACACAGGGTTTCAGAGCTTGGGCCATACTTGAGGACAAAAAAGTCTCAATCGGGATACGTAGTCGCTCTATATATAAGAAACTAAAAAAATTACTAAGTTTTCACCCCGTGTTCTCTCCGTACCATCGCTTTGTCGATATGAAAACAGAGCCAAGAAGCCTGATCAATAATTCGTAATTTGTTCATATGCTAAAGGAAATATTACCAGGTGCTTTAGGCGACGTCATAGCAATTATATGAGCTCTAGCACAATCTCTGACATCGATCACTCCAAACATCAGTTTTGGAACCATTGGCATTTCTCGCTGAAGAAAACGCCTGTGAAGCTAAAAAAATTATTGTTGGTTTGTTAGTCTTGATTAATTACAGGCTGTGATAACTAATAATGGATAGATAGCAAGTATGGTAGCCAATCGGATTACAGAATTTGTGATAGGCCGCCAGAAGATTTATAGTCAAATACACTTTTACCTCGGAACTTGCGCAGTAAGAGGAGCTCAACAAAGGGCCAACGATAAACCCAGGATTGATGGCACAAAGCTCAAACTTCTCGTCATCTGTTAGTAAGAATGAGTAAAGTACGCCTTGTTAAAAGCCAGCAAAGCTTGGGGAAGGCAGTTGAGTTTGGGCTAGGCACGTAGTCTGATAGCCTACATCTAAGAATTTTATCATTTAATTTTAGGAAATATACATATACATATATATATATACATACATACATAAGAAGTAATGTGGCACACGAGGACGGACAACTTCGAAAGAAGGAAGACATATACTCAATAAAAAGTCTAAAAAGTTTGATAAAATACGTTTCGGTCCGAGACCTTCATCAGTTGTGTTCATCAACAGATGAACACAACTGATTGTGTTTTATTGAGTATATGTGTTCCTTCGCTCAAAGTTGTCCGTCCTCGTATGCCACACTACTTCTCCTATCATTTATCGCGGTTTGGACTGCGAATCCTTTTGGATCCTTCTGGCGTGGCGTCTCTGTTGGCTCGAAGCCTGTTAACTTGTTATACATAACTGTAGACAGGTTTGTTAGAGCTGGTTATGAAATTGTCACTGTGCTGGAATTCCAGTGAAGGAGTCCCGGGTCTGTTCCCACTGGGCAAGATATGAATACTCGCGACTCCACTCTCTACCAAGAACGGTTTCAAAGCGGACCATCACGGAAACTCTAGCTAAACCCAATTCGTTGGGGCACTAGTTTGCGATAGGCTTGCGTCCCCTTGAGGGGAAGAGAAACACTATTGGTCACTTCATGAGAGGGAGATCAGAATAAGTTACAACTGCAGGGTCCACTAAGTTTATGAAACTCAACCTGTGACCACTTGGTCCTGAGTTTCCTGAAATTGCAGGACCTGGTTCCTTTGAATATTGAACGCATTTTTGAGTGATTCAATGAATTGTCACCTGGCAACTTTTCCAATAGTTCCCAGGCAGCCTTTTCCGCAAGCTTCTTACTCTTCTCATAAGGGCTGACCCCGTCATCTGCTGCCCAGTCCTCCTCGGTGAAGACTTTATCTTCCACGCCTTGTCGACCACCTATGCACAGAAAAAAATAGTGGTTAAAAAAAAAAATTAATGAAAGCCGAGCTTTCCCGTCGCTTCCATCTAGGACAATGGACAAAACTGTTTGTGTTATCCCACTTGGCGGCTAAAAAATTACAAACTTTTCGTAACAAACTTAAAGCAAGATAGTAAATTTAGCAAATAGTCCGCTCTGAAAATTTCGAAGAAATTTAGGTCTTAACGAGGCTCTCAGTGACTGTTAAACAAATTCTCCTTGTCAGCACCTAAGGAATTGTATCGAGAACAGTATGGAGAATATGCAGACTGATGTTAAGGGTTAAAGCGTTAATTCAATTGCTTACTATGAATTGCAGCAGAGGAACTCGTCAACACAACTCTTTTAACACCACCCTTTGTCTTAGCGCACGCCTCTAGGACGCTTTTGGTTCCTTCCACAGCAGGTGTAATAATCTCCATACCATCTCCAGGAATTCTGGGAGGGAGCGGTGACGCAACATGAATCACATAGGTACAGTCTTTAACAGCACTGTAAGAAAAGGAATTTTATTTTCAATGGTCACCTGAAATTAGATTGCGGTAATTAAAAAAAAAGTACTATGTTCAATATTACACGATGAATTATACCGCATATCACTTCCCTTGTCTCTGGAGTAGGCAGTATTACTTTCTGCAAAAGTTCGGGTAGCTCCTTTCATTCTAAGCTATACTATGTACAGTTTTTACCCCTTCCCCGACTAACCCATGATAGCTGATGATACATGTACAATGCAATAGGACTCTTTGGCGAGGAGGAGAGGTGGGGGGGGGAGGGGTAGGGCACAGATGCATATAGTAACCAATAATAAGATAAAGAAAAGACACCACATAAATCGGAATACTGGTGAACTGAATGTACATTATCAAACCACGACTCAGTGATTTCTAAGTGTAGCATCTTAGAAGGAAAAAAACCGAAGTGAACCTCCTCTGTCAAACAGTGGTAAACCCAAAATTCTGCCCAGGAAATCGGCTGATATCCGATGTCCTAAAGTTTTTCCTGTGTATTTTACTCGAGAGGTTTAGTTCTGTTACCTGTGTTATCACGAGCTTGGGATATTTAACAATTATTCCACGAGCGCGCGTTGGATATGAGAAGATAGATAGCCAACGAGGCGCGTAGCGCCGAGTTGGCTATAATCATCTCATATCCAACAAGCGCGAGTGGAATAATTGTTTTATTAAAAAAGTTAAATTAAATTATTAAATTTTATTAAATTTTTAGCTCCCCTTTAATTTTAAGCTGCCACGTACCCTTACCGCATTTGTAGATTATGGTATATTGGCTGATATAGCATAATGGCTAAGCCAATAAAAAGTCTTGAATTGCATTATCCAATGATCTAGTTTTTTATAATTAAAATTAGCTTACGTGACAGCACTGTTCACGAAATCGATTTCTACAATATTTTACCACGACAGAAGCCCATCAAAAGTGTTTTTGTCGGTAAATTTCTCAATCAAAATCTTTCCTTATTCGTAACCCCCATATTAAGCATTAGTTGATTCTAGATACTCCAAAATTCATTAAGATATACCAGTGAGTTTTGCTTCGCAGCTCTATTTATATTGGTTTCGAACCGGAACGCTGTTATCGTGGGCGGTCACGCTCGCAGACAACTGAAATGAGTCAGCATTTCCCAATAACATTGACGCGGGATGAGAAAGATAATTCTAGAATTTACACAGCTGAGTAAAACTTAAAGCAGCCTGCTATCCCTTTTTTTTACTTTCCAGCTGCAGAGATACATAATTTTGTGATTTGGAACACCTCCTTCCATTTTAACAGTGATCATGTTTCGATGACTGGACTGTGATGAAGAGAAAAATTCGCTCATGATCATACTTACTCTATCCAAGATTCTCTCTTAGTGAGATCTGCCTCCACCAATTCCAGCTGTTGATTCGAATTTTCTGGGCACAGTGCCCTCAATGGTTTGAGCTTCTGTTCGTTCGCCAAACTTCTGACTGATCCTCGGACGATGTATTCTTGGTCAGACTCAAACAGCTGCTTAACAATATGCATGGCAAGAAAACCTGAGGCCCCAGTCACAAGAACACGGGTCATTTTAACGGCGGGAAAAGACTATTTTAATACCTGATCAGTTTGGATCGGAGCTGTTTATGATGCTCAAAAAAAATTCATTCAGAACGATGGGATTCTCTCCGTTTAAGTATTGAGTCACAAGTGATTTCAAAATGTGTCATCCCTTATGTGATAGGAAAGAACCAATCAAAATGCCTATGTGAAACTAAGAAACATTAGGAGCATTCTGATTGGAATGGACCAAGAAAATAAGGGATTACGGAGTATATTCATAAAGAAACACCCGAAACTAAAAGCTGAATGTTCCAAACTAGCAACATGATGGTTGGCATCACATATCTCTGATGCACCAAGGCACAATTGATATGCTACTAAATGTTTCTTTCCTTTATTCTTTCCTCATTTGTTGAGTCTGCTGTGTTTACCACTTGAATGATATTAGTTTGAGTTTTGCATCACTCAAAGAGAGGCTCACAAGGCAATTTACTACATGCATTGATGACCATGGACAAGGCCTGAAGAGAGGTGAAATTAAGGCATTTTGTACCCCCCTCCCCCCCCAAAAAAAAACAAAAGCAAACACAAAAGAGCTTACATCCAGCTATTTTGACTTCACAACCTTATTTAACAAAGGAATGTAAATTACATATTAAAAGAATTGCCAAAATAGATTCCCAGACATTTTCGTGATGCAGCTTTTTTGATTCTAGATTCTACTAACCTTCCAGTACATTTTCCCAAATTCCTGCCTGCTTACAAACCCAAAGCCTAAGTTTTCAGTCTTTGTAAGAAAATTTGAAACTTAGTTGTGATGTGCATGGGGGACTCATTCTCTTTAATGCAGAGACTGTGGCCTCACACTTGGCATGTTAGGATTTTAATTAACTCTTTAAATCCCTAAAGTGATAAAGATGTAACTTCTCTCTACAACATCAATGCATTATCCTGCAAAAGTTGTTATCATGATCTAACACCAAATTCTTGCAACTGATCCACAAGGAAATATGTAACAGCTAGAGGGGAGAATTATCAATCTGATCTAGGGAGTTAGAAGGCTAATAGGTCTGTTTTCAAAGCATTGACCAGGCCCAAGTTGTTCGAAGGATGGATAACGCTATACACTGGATAAATCTCTATCCGGTGGATAGCGCAGTACATTTTGGTAACACTTATCCGCTGGATAGCGATTTATCTGTTGGATAGCATTATCCACCCTTTGAACAACCGGAGCTAGGTCATTGTCTTGCATTCTTGGGCCAAACAGTTTTTTCTCATGGTCTCCCCTCCCCCTCCCCCTCCCCACCACCACCCCTTGGAGTGTAGCACAGTACTGGTAAACTGTCAGGGAAAACTGATTGAATGCTGCAGAAGGGGAGGGGCTTGTAATGTTCTATTCTTTGGGTTTCTCTTGCAATCGCACACGTCAGCATTTATCCCCTGTTCATTGATCCTTTTTTCCAGATCAATTCGTTTCATTCATTAAATCCATTGATTACTGCATACCCAGATTACCTTTTGAGAGATTGTTGTATAGATTTTGTCCTTGTTTGTGACAACTTTTCAGCAAACAGCTGTATATCACTAGGGTCAAGAGATGACTCAGCCTCTACCTAACCCTTTAAGAATGAAATTCTGACAAAACGTTTGTGTTTCCTATTTAATAGTCCAATTCCATCTTTTCAAATATTCCAAATTGATAAGTAACTAGCATTATTTTTAAGTAGAAGTATTGAAGCTGTAACAATTGCAACAGAATGAGGGCTCATTTGTTTTTATAAAGTACAAATTTTTTTGCAAAATATTTCACACCCCCTTGGAACATTAATACTAGAATTCACACCAAATAAAGAAAGACTGGAAAATATCACATCATACACTGAATCGAAATATGGCGTCCAATTTGAATTGGCATTGTTCTGGACTTACTAGCCTCTCGCACATGTGATAATCCTTTTGTGTTTCCACGTGAAGACGAGGCTGGTAAGTCCAGAACAATGGTAATTCAAATAAGACACCATATTGCGATTCGACGAATAAGAACCTCAGGATATTTTAAATCTTTAAGAATCAAGCATTTTTAACCCAGTACCATCCAAGATAACTTTAAGTAAAATGTTAGCTCTTTACAGCCTAACATCAGTCTGCATATTCTCCATACTGTTCTCTATACATTTCCTAAGGTGCTGACAAGGAGAATTTGTTTAACAATCAAGAGCTTCTTCTGTCTCTTTAATTGGTTATCATTTCCTTTTTTCTTGCGATCTCATTGTTTGAGTGTAAGAGTTTGTTAGTAAGTAACATGGTGTGTAGTTTGGGTCAGGTGTTATATTATAAGGAGAAATTGGATGCTGGTCACTAATAGAGATCTGTGAAAGGGTTGAGACACTTACAAAATACAAGAAACTGAAAATCAGGAGTTGTCTATTAGTTCATGGAAGAAAAGGACTTGTGTCTGTATGAGTAATATGTCTAACGTTATGTTGCAAGGTGCCAATTAATCCAAAGGTGTTGCTTGACCTCACCAATAGGCGGATTCATGCTGATGTCATTGTTTACATTTTTGCTCATTTGCATACGGCTTTGCGTAAAGAAGGAAGAACGTTAGATACAAATTGACTTCAGGCAGCTAAAGAGCTAGAAAACCTCAGTACGTGGTGAAATATTTAGCTCTTTGGGTGTAATATTCAAGGAGAAATAGTCCATCAAAAACTGCAAAATTTCTGGATGGCAAAAGCGCTAATGAGCTCATACATTCTATGTAAAATTTTGAGTTTTTAAACCCGTGTTGCACAAAAAGTATTCAATGCATCAGGCTCGTAGTCATTGGCCGAGTTAATCGTTCTTTGACATTTCGATATTCAGAACTGATTTATATTTAGCTCCAACAGAAACTGAATTGCTTATGCTAATGAGGCAAATATTGTAAACAAGGATTCTCCCATAGCCCTTTCACTTCCAAGACCTCACTAAGATTTCTCCTAACCATCAGTTGTACAATTCTTGAGGTTCCTTTGAGGAATTTAGTAGCACTTTGGAGAAGAAAATCTAACTATTTCAAATTGGTTTCTTGCTCCCTCTCTTGAATGATGATCAAAGTTCAAACAAGCACATAAAACTACAAATGCAAATTAGGAAGAATTTTAGAATGTTTACAGAGTCAAGACTTTGCCTCTGATCTCCTGACAAGCTCAGCTTCTGTTGCTGCAGCAAGGTCAGGTGCTTTAAAGTGACTGCTTTCCAACACAGCCACAAGGAGTAATAGAGCTGAATCCGGCATTCTTGTAAAATCACTACAAAGAATGTGATCTTTTAGCTTGTGGTGGAGTTCTTCCTGAAGGAAACCTGCTTCAGTAAGGGCCCACAAAAGTTCAACAACTTCCCAAGGACGATGTACAGAAACATTACTATTCATTGCTCGGTCTCCTATGTAACTGAAAAGATCTGGTACAAAATTCTTGGTCTTTGCAAAGCTCCTTGCAACCATGGTTAAACCTCTTGAATCTAAGTTGAGTTCACCCCTTGAAAGAAGGTCATAAGCAACTCCTTCAAAGAGATCAGGAGCATGCCTGTTTTTCTCAGCGTAGGAGGAGACAATCTGAGCCAGTTGCCTCTCTGAAAAATGCGAAAGACCACGCTGCATAATTTCATGTTTGAATCTTCTGAATAAATCGTTTGCATTCCCTTGAGCCATGGCATACGACCAAAGGATTGTCACTAAGACCTTCTCAGAGAAATCTCGTACGTCACGACTCAATAATTCCTTCTTTATACCAGCAAAGAGTGAAGCACTTATCTGCTTCACCTGTGTATAGGACCACAGAATTTTGCTGATATCTTCCACTGTGAAACGAACCAAACCCCGGGCCATGATTTCAGTCCTCAGTACCTTGAACAATCGAAAAGCTCGGACATTTGCTTTGCCGTATGCACGAATGATCACAGCTATGTCCCCGTTAGTAAACTCCTTAAAATCACGGCTTCGGATTTCTTCATCAAAACGGAGCATTGCTCGAGTCACCTTTGAGTGTTCTTCATGCGACTTAACTTTGTCACGGTGACTTGCTATTGCCAAAACAGCGCTGGAAAGTTGAGAATCTTCAAAACGACTACAATTCCATTTTAAAGCTTTCAAGAGAGATTCTGTCGCTTCCTGCACACGATTTAAGTCAACTGCCTCGTTTTTCCCGTTGCCTTTTACATGCCTTGCTTCGTAATGTGAAAAACGGTCAAATAGTGCAACCTGAGTAGCAATGGTCAATATGTTGTCCGTGTTTAGAATGGAGTCCTTCAACCCTTCGTACAGCTCAATCACCTGATTCATATCAGTTTCGTTTCGTATCTTTTCAATGAATGGAAAGGAACTCAACAATTGATCCCTCCTAGGCCTGTAAGCGTCCATCCTCCATTTTGATCGATACATTTCTAACAAACTTCTGTTCTGAAATTCGTTTCCTAAGTCAATCGTCGGATAATCTTGATAGTGAGTACTCCGAAAGGCCTCCGAAGAAAAGAGCCTCGGTGAAAAAGATTTGAAAATATCTAAAAATATAGATGTCATCGAAGCTTTTCTTACCTTGAAAACTGTCATATTCTGGTACAAAATTCCTCGCAACATGATGAATTCTTGTTGTTTTCGTGACCGGGTACAAGTAATTGCATAAAGTTTCGTACCAAACCGCTTGTAATGGCGGCCCTCGCTCTCCTCACCTATCTAATGTCATGTAAGAATTACTCTAATGTCCCACGCCTCCAGTCCCAGGCACATGAGCAAGGGGTACTTTCTGGCCGACCTATCGCCAGTCTCCATCGCAAAATTTCACTCGAAGAAAAAAATTGAATCGTTCGTAGATATTAAGTCTGTAAAGGGAAACGAAAGTAAGAAAACTCAAAACTTTTCGAACACGAAGCTTATTCAAGTACGCCTATCCTGTTGATTGAGCTTTACCAAAAACCGTTATATTGTACGTTTTAAAAACTTCGTGATTTACTGGCTTATGTGGCTGATTGTAACTCGTGTAAGAAAGGTTGGGTTCTGACAGCCTAAAAGCACGCCACCAAGAAAGAGCTGGGGTGCGGGCTACGATCAAAAGTAAATGTGAAACCGCCAAACGATTCAGGATTAACAAATTATTATGTATTAGTGGTCTCCGCCAAAGACTGAGAAGTATTCATGTTTAATTGAACCCTTTCGTCAGATCAGAAGTTGTACCTTTTTATGTTACAAGTGGATCTACTAGCTTATAGAGGGGGGCTTTGGGATTTTCGGTTTTGATTGTTTTTGCATCGATTTTTCGGTTTTTGGGCCAAAAAGGTTCGGTTTTTCGGTTTTGATGTTTAGAGCGGTTTGCGGATTTTAAGTGTTTTTGCATTCGGTTTTCACGAAGACTCTGACGCGGTTTTCGATTTTCCTCTTTGACCCCTTCAAAGGTGAAAATGTAGCGGTTTTGTCAGGTTTGCATGCGGTTTTCGGTTTAGCTGCCTTTTTTCGTCGGTTTTTCGCTTTTGGAGGTTTTTTTCTCCGGTTTTGCGGTTTCCCAGAGGCCCCAATGCACCCCTCTTATAATCTACATACCATAATTTTTGCTATCAAGTCAAAGTTAGTACTGCTGACGTCTTTTGAAGCGCTCAACTATCAAAATAAACGTATTTTTGGAAAATCTTGAAAACGCTCTTCGGTAACTAGTATGAACGCGGGCTTATTAATTTAACTGAGCATTGTTGGTAATAAAACTTGGCCGCCTACTTGAGGCCAAGGGTCAACTCATATATTTAACCTGGATATCTCGTACTTTTATCTTCTTACAGTATTTTTGTTGGTCGCAGAGGTTTGGAATTGGAGGCTGTGGGGCTGAAGGAGGCGAGGAATCAATACAAACCAGTTAAATCAAAGTAAAATGTTTGCGCTGATAGGACCACTCATTCTCACTCCAAATTTCTGTTTCATTAACCCATAAAAACAGTCCGTTTGGATATAAGGGGAAAAGCTCTTCAGGTTGGTTTCAATTTACTTACAGGATGCTGGTAAAGCGCCTTTCGAATCAAAAGAAAAGAAAATACCTTAAAAGAGCAAATGAAAACTCAGAGTATAAACAACTAACAGCCCAAGCGCGAGAAAACGCTGCAAAACGCGGGCGAGCAAGTTGTGATTGGTTTTAATCTTGCATCTGATTGGTTGAGAGGGTGGCGCATGTTTATTTTGGACCAATCACCCAGCGAAGTAAAGCAAAACCAATGCAATCTCGGATGAATTTCTCGAACATGGGCCATAACTAGTTATTTTCGTTACGAAACAGTGATACATAAAAATCAGGAACCGAATATTGATGACGGAATTTCTTGACTATATCTTGAATCTTCAGTTTACGGCAAACCTGAGGAGGGGAATACCTGCAAAATAAAAAAAACTCATCGACGATATTGCACATACACATACACACATAAAAAACAAATAAAGATACAAATAAAAAAAAAAAACACAACAAAAGTCGGCAATAAAGACACAAAACAAAACAAAACAGAGGAGAATAAAACAAAATCCAAAACAAAACAAAACAAAGCAAAACAGAACAAAACAGAATCAATAATAAAACAAACAAACACAAAAAGAAAACGAAAACTAAACAAAGAAAATAAAGAAAGGAAAAGATGACATCTCAAGGTGAACTTACGTATCAATCTCCAGCCTGCGCCGTCGGCGAATGTTGAGAGCGGTCTGTCGCACCATGATACCCAGGACTCGGCGGCTGACCACCATACCGTCGACGAGTGGTCCGCCAATTGGAGACCTAACATGATATTAAGAAAAGTTTGTACATGGAAACACGCCTATGTATGAACGTCACATTTACTGAGGTATTAAGAATGTGTTAATTACCTGATGGTGGACCTGATATGGATCCGGTACAGACCGCTCCTGAGATAGTAAATGAAGATAACTACAGTTTCTTTATCGAACAAACTTCGGGTTGAATCACTGCAACAGATGTCAAACTCCATTAACAGATCATCTACGGGGAACTGCGCATGGTCCTCGAATCGCTCCAGCCACGCCACCAGTACGTTTGTCTCCGATGAGGTGTTATGAGTGCTTAATCTGGACAGCGGTCGATTGTCTAAGGACAAAGAATGCCCGAGTGTTGACATTGTCCGATGTTGAAACTGAAAGAAAAAAAGAAAAAATTCTTCCGATTGGTCCTTTGTGATCACCCATTGAAAAGTACTCTAAACTACTGGTTACCAGAAGCACCCAAAGCAAAGGCACCACAGAAATATACATCTTAGCTCTTTTTAATAAACGATCTGGCCCCGGTTGTTCGAAGATTGGATAAATAATCCACGAAATAAATCCCTATTCTGGTGGTAGCCGTAGTACGTCTTGTGAAGACGAATCCATTGAAGAGCGATCTATCCCGTTGAAGGGTGTTAGCTCAATGGATAGAGCGCTGGACTGTTGTGCGGGAGGTCGAGGGTTCGAGTCCCGGCTGGACCAACACTAAGGGTCTTAAAATAATTGAGAAGAATATGCTACCTTTCTATAACATCAAGAAATGGTTAGATATTCTAGTCTTCTCGGATAG